TGTAAAGGTCAACGATGGTGGCACTTTAAATGTATGTGGTGACATCATTAGAACCTGAGTACAATTCTATTGAAGTTGCCCTCAAGAGTGCAAATGGGCCAAGAGAGCTTGAGGGAAGGCTTTTGAGGAGGTTGCCATTAAGGGCGATGTGTGTGTAATGAGGAGTATTTTGTCCACTGATGACATCGATATTTTTTGTGGAGCTAACCATGCTGGTGGTGCTACAAGCGATGGTGGTGAGTGCGAGTTGTCACTTGAAGTCTCTATGTGATTCAACAAGAGAGAATTCGAAGATTTTGCTGAGCAGATAAGAGAGTTTGATGATACAATCTTATGTAGTGAAGTCACCTAACGGAGACTTGAGGATGATGGTTCAGGATCAAATATTTGAAGACGGTGACAAGAAATTTTGAAGTCGGCATGAAGGCTTAGATGGCCATTGTTATATAGCAAATATAATACTTCATGGATATGATTATAAGATTTGAACCTACTGGTCCAGTTTGCAAAGAATGTCTGAATGACATAGAAGCTATTCTGAGCTGTCATTAGTAATTGTACTTCTTAGTTGATTAATGGATTTGCCTGAAGTCATTTGAGAAGAGGTTAACGAGTTGAGGATAGGGGTCATCTTGTTGAGGGAGTTTACAAAAAATTCCAAGATGAGTCAATCTGTCTTATGATAATTGATCATGCGTAGCAACCTTCCTTGTCAGGTTACTCTTGAGCTAGTTTCCATTTTAGGTTAGGAACAGCTTTAGCATTGTCGCAGGATGAGTTCAAGGATGCTCCAAGTCCCATAAGTGATTTTTGGTAGTTTACTAACTAATTATCTTTTTATTTTTTATTTTTTCTTGATGTATCTAGTCAAAAAAGGAATTTTGTAAAAAGGATAAAAAAATAAAGATTAATTTTTGTTGTCTTCTAAGTTTATTTTCTTTGATTTCAACAAAAAAAAAATCATTTTTTTTATGAGAAATTGCATATTTTTGTAATACTTAATTTAAACTTGACCTCTCATTGCCTTATTCATGCAATTTCCCTTGTTTTTTTGAATTCGAAAAGTCTTTTCAAATAAACTCAACCTCCACTGTGAAAATGGCCTTTATATTGAAGTCATCCCTTAGCGTGAAGTCGGCCTTTAGCGTGAAGTTGCCCCTCTTCCCCTCTTGGCTAAATAGTTGAAGTCATCTTTCCCCTAGAAGTCATTGTAGTAAGAAGTCATATTGTAGTATGAAGTTGGCCTTTTTTTCTTGATTTTAGCATTTGATTGAGTCAAAGGAAGTGCATTGCTTTAATTTTCAACGTTGATATATAACAATGGTAAAGCGTTGTGCTGAGATTTTGTTTTTGAATGAAAGGTCATGATGGAGATCTCAATTAATGATCATGTTGATTTGATTTAAGGTGGTCGGGGATCTTCTGCATCCTGTTACGACCAATCCAACATGACCGGTCCTACAGTTGGAGGGAAAGTAAGGAAGGAACTTTTTTTTTTTTTTTTTTTAAGGAGGGAATTTAATAAAGGAAAGGGAGTTCTTTTAAGGCTGTTTTGGAGGGAAAAGGGGGGGGGGATTAAATAGGGGTGTTATTTTTTATTAGGGGGATGTTTTTGGAGTTATTTTTATCCTGAATTTTCTGTGAGGGCTTCCTAGCAGCATCTAGATTGATTGGGAGATACGATCTGTCTTTCTAACTGTAGATCGATTGTATCTTTTGTTTCTTGTTAAGTTATTGTAATAAAATCAGTTATTATTTCCCCTACAACTGCTGTAATTTGCTATTTTTCTGTGTAATTTCTGCGCTTGATTGCTGATTCCTGCTCCCGGATGCATCGCATCCTTACCTATAAATAGGGCTTATTCTTGAGACTTTCTTTCTTTATCTTATCATGTTCTCTCGAGCTTTATTGCTTATTTTGCATCCTTGTGTTTCTTCTGATCTCTCCTTCTTCCTTCTTTGTAGGGGTGTCAATGCGGGTCAATGGGTCGGGTTCGGGTCGAACCCGAAACTGACCCAGCACTGTTCGGGTCAACCTGAACCCGACCCTATTTGGGTCCGGGTCAACCCGACCGACACATATGACCCGAAGTTGACCTAAAATTGTTAGTTTTCGGGTAAAAAATTGGGTCAATCTTCAATTTTCAGGTCAAAATCGGGTAAAAAATGAGTCAATCTCGGGTTTCCGAGTCAAATAGGAGTTTTCGTGTCAATTTCGGGTCATTTTTGGGTTGCTGGGTCAACCCTAACCCGACTCGATTTTTAAAACAGGTTGATTTGTTGAACCCGAACCCGACCCGTTTCGGGTCCGGGTTGACCCGAACCCGGATTTTTCCGGGTCGGGTTCGGGTCGTGTTTTGGGTCATGTCAAAAATTGACACCCCTACTTCTTTGTAGCCTTTTGTTTTATCAATGACACACTTTGTAAACATCACTGACTGCTTTACAAAGTTGGAATGGAGTTTCTCCTCCTTTGTTATAGAGAATACTATGAAGATCCTTCTAAAATGAGTTAAACCTTGGTGAAGACTTACCATGCTAGCTCCAGATTTTAGCGAGTTACTTAATTCACTTTAGGACATTGAATGGTGCTTCTGGAGAAACCATTTGACAGCGGACCTACAATTTATACTATTTATTGAGGTTGTCAAGATCAAGAATTGCTTCATCCTCATTACAACCCAAGTCATACCTTGTTTGTGAGTGTGGTCTTCTTCATAACCTTCCTCCGTGACAAAAGGGCAAAGTGGAGCTTGAGTTTCTTCAGGCACATGTTCGCAATAAAAGGATTTTTATAATATATTGTTCTCTTTTCTTCTAAGTTTATGAAAATAGAAGGATTATACAACAAGATAAAAAGATTGAAGAATACATATTTCTTTGTCAAGTCCTTCTAGGATGGGCGATATATACTAGGTTGATAAAGATTTTGAGAGACTATTTGACCTGGTCTAGTGATGTGAAACGTATTTGCATGGATGAATTGCTTTAAGGAATTTGCACACTTAATATTCGTAGAACGAATAATTATATCTTGATGGTGAATTTAAACGACGCAATAAACCTTAAGAGCGGGAAAACGAGCTTAGGTTGAATCACACGATGTCCTCATCATCTAGTCTCTCTGTGGATGATGTAGGTAGGTTACGGAAGTTAAAGACCATGTTTTAGATTGCAGGATGTATTAGCATGAGAAGATGATCTAGGTGACACTCGCCCTTGAATCTTAGGTGGAAGGTAAGTTTTTATCTAGTATTAGAACTTTGAATTTGAATTTTCACTTATCTGATGAGTTTGTCTACATCATTGCGATTTCTTGTTTTGCTATTTTTGGGATTCCTAGTGATATTTTCATTGATGTTGACTTTGATCTGGGGATAGATTTGACTTTGGTACCTTCTTTAATGCTATCGAGGAGCAGATACTCTCATTTATGAGGGTAGGAATCCAATGAAGAAACAATGAGTTTTCATTACGGTTGACTTCAAAGGAGAGCAAGGAAGGAAAGGGGAAGAAACCAATGGTCTACCACTATATCCCTTCAGGGCTTACAAACCTCCTTCCTTATTGAAGAGGATAAAGTCGCTTTTAGCCAAGTGATGGACTTTGAAAATGTTATGTTTGACTTCAATATTGACCTATTTCTGCTAAAGATAGAGTTGAACGCTCCATTGTAGGTACGACTACGATCTTGTGAAGCTCCTCTAGTTGTCTCCACAAGAGATTGAAGGAACCGCTGACTGGTGATCTTCACATGTCCATTATGCTTAGGCCCATTAAGTGTTAGCAAGAGGGTTTCTACCTGACAAGAAGTCATAAGAGGTTGTATCTCACGTATGAGAAATTTGAAGATTTTAATTCTTTGAATAAAGAAAAGAAGGATGTGGAAGTCTCCTTCAATAGGGAGCAAACATAATTTTGGACGAGTGTAGAGGCAAGAAGATGAAAGAATTAAAGTTGAAGAGGCCATGCCAATTTTGAAGGATGAGTCATCTGAGAAGGAGGTTTTGTTAACTATGACTATGAACTAAATAGAAAATTCATAGCAAGAGTTTGAATCTGTACAAAAAGTTCATGCGAGTTTAAGTTTTGACATCTAACCTCTTTGAGATGTAGTTCAAATGAGCAATTATAGGATCATGGAACTCTAAAGCGCTGTCAATAATTCCGATTTGTCTCTCATGGAGGCCAAGTTAACGTATGTGAACTTTGCTTATGAGTTGAATACTAGCATTACTCGACTATTATAGATTGAAAATTTACTGAAGGAAGCCAAAAGGGTTGAGTTGATGGCCAAGCTGGCTCAAACTACAGATGAAATTGACTTGCTTAGCATATTTGTGAAGTCTAAAAAATATTTAGACATGGTCATTGATAACTATGGCGGAATCTCCTAATATCTTTAGAATTTAGTGAAACAAGATATCTTAGGGCCATTATGAGTTGCTATTGAAGACTTCTTTCAAAGCTTGGAAGAATTCTCTGAAGTTGATGAAGACGAGTAGATGATTTCGCAAAGTGCTTTGTGAATCGTTGACTTTTTGGCCATAAGAAGTCTTACAAATTCAAGACAACTTATGCTTTTGGTGAAATGAAATATGAATTCTACCTAAATTTACTTTGTAATTTTGCTATGAATGTTGTAGTTCTTTATGTGACGATGAATTAAATAATTTTTGTTGATATATGAGATAATTTTCCAAGTATTCATTAGTAGTTTGAGTTTGCAGTCCTTTAAAAGTTCTTAGAGTTTAGCAAATTGTTATGTAAGTGAATATGAAGATTTTGATGTTAGATTTGTATATATATAAAATGTTGTGGTATGCATGTAAATCTCCCATTTTTTATGTTACATCCATTTCTCCTTTTTTTTTTTTTGAAATTCATTGCTCCTAATGGTGTTGACATGCAAATCCCTATATTGTTTTGTTGCAAGAATATTAGTAAAGTTGTCCAAAGCTATTTTAAAGGATTGTTTTCTATTAATCATTACCTGGCAGGTGATTTACAGTACACAAATAGAGTTGCTCTTATGTACAGGACAAAATCAGTTACAATACCAGAAAGTGGAGTGAATATATGCCCTTTGAAATTTAATGAATATATTCCTTGTCATGATGCATCTTATTTAACAAAGTTGCTCCCAAAACTAGATACTTCTCGAGAAGAGCAGCTTGAGAGCCATTGTCCTGAATTAGAGGACCGCTTGTTTTGCCTGGTTCCACCACCTTTTGACTATAAAATACCAATAAAATGGCCACTTAGTAGAGATTATGTTTGGCGTAGTAATGTGAATCATTCACATCTCGCTGAAGTGAAAGGAGGACAAAATTGGGTTCATGAGAAAGATAAGCTATGGTGGTTCCCTGGTGGCGGTACACATTTTAAGCATGGAGCTGCTGAGTATATTGAGAGGTATGTTTTAGCAGCTATGCATATTGTTTTTATTCAAAGTTAACATATAAATATATTGCTAATACTGTTGCTACTTTATATCTTAGCAGTTTGTGTAGATATGTTTTTTTATTCCTCAAGAGAGGTAGGACCAGTTTGTATTGTAGTTGATCTTGAAAATTTGAACTTTGATCTGTGCACTCTTATATGTAATTGGTGGTCTGAGGATAATTTAAATGAAAATACCCATGCTATTTATTTGACATGTTATCTATCTCAGCATGCGCTTGTAATTGTATTTTTCTCATTTAGGTTTTCTTAACTCTGAAATTTGATATTTACTGCTAAAAGGGTGGTTCATTGGAATCTGTCCCATCGAGAAAATCACCCTTGTATCTGGCCAACATGCTAGCTACTGAGTAACGAAAAGATTTGATATAACCATAAATATGTATAATCTACTGATTTGGACTTCTAAATAAAGTAAAATCTACTGTTCCGGACTTCTCAATAAAGTAACAGCATATGCAGAGATAGGGAAAATGGGGTTAATATTGTCTTGTAGTTAAATTTAAGAAGTATTCTTAATCATGTTTTATAGAGATAAAGGCATAATGTTCTGTTTTATGGTTGAGCTGAGATGCTAAACTTATTATGGATGTTTTGGGTGTCGTGGATTTTGGATTTGACTGAATCCTTTAATACCTATGTTGTTAGACTCCATTTTTGACCTTCCTCAGTCAACTTGAGGTGTAACTAATAGGGGTGTCAAAAATTAACCTGACCCGAAATCTGACCCGGACCCGATCAAGAAAAATCCGGATTCGGGTCAAGCCATTTGTGAAATGGGTCAGGTCCGGGTTCGGATTTCCGGCCAGTTTGAAAAAAACGGGTCGGGTTCAAGTTGACATGGAAACTCGCTAGTCAACCCGAATTGACCCGGTTAGACGCGTTCGCGTCTAGTCGCGAGTCGAATCATACAGTGAGAAGTCGCGTCATGCCAGGCTGCCAGCTGTCTTGCGCAAGGTCGGTCCAGTTGCGTCATGCCAGTCGAGTCAAATCGTTGGGTGTCACTAGTCACCCTCCGCCTCTTGACTAGTCACCGTCGGGCATCGCCGGCTCTCCACCATTCCACCCTCCGCCTTCCCGAATCCCTACCAGCCACCGTCCGGCGTTGTCATGTCGGCCTCACCGTGTCACGACCCGGCCCGATAAGCTCGCGCAGGCGAGGCGTGAACAAAGGTCAGACGGTATGTTAAATTATCTAATCACTAAAACTATCTCCATAATAATTGAAAGAGCCTCTAAAACATCAATTTGAAAACTCAATTAACATAAAACTCAAACAAATTCATAATTACCTTTCTTCTGGAGCTTCTCTACGATGATAAATATTTCCACCCCTTCTACTCATCTTTGATTAACTTAATCTTACCTGTAAAATGTTAACAACTAACATTAAGTTAAAGCTCAGTAAGTAATACACAATTCTAAACTACAGTAAACAAGGCAACTGTGTAATATGCTGGATGTCAATTTTATATGAACATAACATAAAAATGATTCATACTTAACATAACATTAAACATATCATAAGGCCATATTTTCCATTTCATTTTCATATCCATATCATTTTTCATAACTTTTTCTTTTCGTATATAATACAACCGTCACAGAAGCCACCGTCTAGTACCATATAGGTACTCCTTTACCATTTCATTTTTCATATCCTTTACCATTTTATCGTGCACGAGTACAGCGTCCCCAGCTAGTACCATTAGGGGGTGAGCTCCATCCTTTCAACATGCACATACAAGCATTCAATATACATAAGCATGTCATTTCATTCAATCTTATTTCTTATAACATATAAACCCTATAGTAAGATACCATAAAATGTACATGTAATTTTCATGATCATACATTTGACAACAATAAAGAATTTGACAACAGTAAAGGATAATGATTGCATATAACTTGAGGGTAACAAAAGTATTACTGAAATAAAGAACAGTGCATACTTACTTGAAAATTTGAAAAATTAATTTCTCCTCGCTAATTCTTCCTTCTTCGAGATTGCTTCAAAACACCTAATAGAGATAATTTCACCCTTAAAATCATTTATAAATAATTTAAATTAATGTTCTCCTTCTATTCAAAATCTAACTTAAGTTCTTCCTCTCCCTCTCTCTCCAAAAGATCACATAAAGCATATCATAATCTAAAAATTCATAATTTTATCTAATTAATTAATATTAATAAAAAATAACACTTTCTTCATCATCTAAATTAATTTAAAATAATTATATCTTCGGATTTACCTAAAACCCTAATTTTAAAATCTCATAAAATTCCTCCAAAATTTCATTTCTATCATTAAAATGCTCTTCTAAACATTACCTAACCATTCCTTAAAGAGATTTTGGAAGAAATACGTTTTTTAAGAAAAACCCTAGAATTTCTATCTCCAAAATTTCCTCAAAATTTTTCATTTTCATTGCTAAAACATTCCTCTAATCTTTCCTTAAAGTTTTCGTAAAGAAATTACAAAAGAAAACCAAAATCCTACAAAACCCTAGAAATTTCATTCTCAAATAACTTGAGATTTAGAAGGAGAAATGAAAATCTAAAGCATACCTTCTTCTTCCCTTGATCTCCTCTTCGATTTGAACTAAAATTTTCCCCGGAAGATCGTCGTCGGAGTGCCCTCACGAAGCCGCCCGTCGCCCCTTGCCCGACGTCCGTCCCTCTTGTTTCGTGCGGTTCACGCGTGAAATGAGAAAGAATGGGTTTCGGTTTGCCTATTAAGGGGAATTGGGGTTTGCTAAAAGTCAATTATGCCCTCACTTAAGAAATTTCGGTATAAGGAATAGAGAAGGGTAGTTTTGGTATTTTTAGACTTCTAAAATTAATAACTCTCTAATTAGACAAAATTATGTATAGGTTTTATATACCAAAACGATCAGAATTTCACGTAGGATTTTCTAAAATTATTTCCGTTACATTCCGTTAACGTTGAAAATTCCACTAAATTCTCATCGCGGCGCTTTGAAAAGCGTGCGAGGTCTAAAATGGCATTTTTCGGGTTTTCACACACCGCCATCGGCCTCAAGGCGTCAAGGAGGTCAAGCAGATGCTCCATCTTGACTCAAGCTATCCGCCTCACCGGTTCTGCCTCATCGCCTCAGTCTAATCATGTTCATGGGTCGGGTCAACCCGGTAACCCGCGTTGGTCGGGTTCATATTGAAAATCCTGACCCATTTAGCTAGTCGGGTCGGGTTTTGGTCAACCCATTTACACCCGGGTCAACTCGGGTTGGACCCGAACCTGACTCGTTGACCCGAATTGATACCCCTAGTAATAGAGAAGTAAAATCCAGACAAGTACATTTCTCACTAACCCCATTTCTGAACTACATTCACATGATCAAGTTAGTAGGAAATTAATCTATTCGAATTATCCCAACACAAATATATTTCGGCCATAGAATTATATCTTATGATTTCATGTTCATAAGCATGCACAATATACCTAAAATAAAGTATAGGCGCTTTACTAAAAATTTCAAATAACATTTTACATACCCAAAAGCTTTAATCTGTAACTTATTGATAAGATTTTTATCTACTCCCAAAATTGATCACCCAAAATGACTATGTACACGGGGTAGTCAAACTCTTGCCTAAAGCTCGATTAACTCCATTCTTTTTCCTGTAATACATCAACTAGTTAGCTAAATGCTTAGTGAAATACATAATCCTAATACAAGAACAATAATCAATTAACATGTATGCTGATATTTTGAACTAATATGAGAGTCATAAGCGGTACACATATAATTCGAAAAGGAAAAAATAAATAAATTGTAATGATCAAAGCATAAAACCGTGCAATTTATTTTATGAAATCTTTCATATTTTCTCTCTTGTTTTTTATTTTATTCATGTATAGTATTTTAAAAAAGTCATATGATACCTATAATCTTTAGCACGTTCATGTCCCCTCCCTTCAAGGTTGGATATAAAAATACTAAATTTTTAGAAGAGAGTCAGGCATGTCCTGTATGGTCCCTACTAAGGCTTATCTCATCTTGTCTTTCGCCTTTCCTTACTCAGGTTATTACTTGCTGACCTATCCCCCATAATGTCTTTTCTTAATAATAACCAAACTAGCATAGCAAACGTCAAGAATATCATGTAATAATACATAATAATCAAGAATCTAAAACATTGTATATTAACATAAATTCATTATGAACGCGCGATCATAAAACTGAAATTATTCTTGTTGCCAAAATTTTCATCTCATGATTAATTTGAAGAAATAGTATAAAAGTTAGATTTAAAAAAATTGTTATTTTCTGCACTGTAGATTGAGTATCTCACCTCATTTTCTAGTTTAGCAGGATGTATTTGATACCTTAGAATATCCTGAAATAGAGTTTAGGAAATAATGAAGAAAGATGCATTTCCATTCATCTGGAAATGTTCAATATCAATAAAATCTCAATAATACTTAATTAGTATCTTCGTAAGTTCAGTTTTCATAAGAAACTTTTCCGTACTAGAAACCTAGCTCTTGTTTATCCAGAAGAGTTAGAACTCAATAGTTTCCTTCTCAGCTGGGGTATAAAATTCATAATTTTTTTCTAACGATTTTGAGACCCAACACCTTAGTCTACTCTTTTCTTTTTATAGACAACCTAAATAATAACGATTTTGAAATTTATGAATAATTCCTAATTTATAAATCAATTTATGATAAATCTAAAAAAAAATAATTTTACCTCAACTGTATTTCTCTTCATTCAAACTAGATTCCTTACCTAATCCCTTGCCTCCTTCCTCTTATTCCTTCTTTTTCCTCCTCTTCCTTCACCGATTTTAGAGTTTCTGCCGCAGCAGCCCCCATGGCCCCCCTCCTCTAGAACAAAGCTTGCTCTCGGCAAGCTGCTGTTTCGATTCCAAATGCGGGCTTTGGGTGGAGGAGAAGAAGTGAAAAAGGCTTTATTTTTTCTCAAACTGTTAAATAAAATTTTCAGGTAAATCTTCTAAATAAATAGAAATGACTGAAAGAGGAATACATTCACAGAAGAAGACGATCAAATTAAGACAGGTAAAATCAAGTTTATGCATATTTTCACTTCAAATTTGTAAGTTTGTTAGTGGCTCTCTAGTTTTATGAGTGATGTTATAATTAATTGTTTATGAGTTAGTTAAAGAAATGAATTAACCATCCGACCGTTCGTTCCCGTCTTGTTAATTCGAGCATCCGGGCTGGGTCATGACATGTTAGAAACAATATGCAGAAGAGAAGATGAGAGACAAAATACTAGAATACTTCATTGCTTGAGTAGGCCGGAACTTGGACCTATAAATATGTTTACAGAGGTGAAAAAAAGGGAATAAATCAACATCTTAGCATAAAAAGAGATCTGAAAAAAAGAATATTTAAGCAGGTCTAAATACAATAGGCTGAATCTTAAAAAAACAGCCCTAAATTAGCCCTAATGCAGCGGTCTTCCACTTAGGGCCAAACCATGAGTTGTCCAAGAGGACAGCTGCAGGAAATTGCCATTTAGGCTGGTCTCCAACTGCCTAGATCACTCCAACTAGAATTCCATCAAGGTATTAGGTACCTCCTGCCCACCTTGTCACTTGTATGCTGGTTTCAATCAAGGGAAGATTCTAGGTATGGTCATTTGAGCTATTTTTTTTCCTTTTTGCAAAGATGTGGCAGTCATTCAACACATTCTAATTACAACAAATACACAGCTGTAAGACATGGTTTTCCACAGCTGTAATGCACTGCATTCCTTTCAAGCTGAGCTGCAGAAATGGCGCAGCCAGTACTACCGTATAACCATATTATAACCTGTGTATTATAGCTGTGTATTTGTCAATTCTAACAATGTGTCTTCAGCTGAAAATTAAACTTTGTATGGTAAGGTTAAATTATCATAATTTTGCTATACATGCTTCAACTTTTTTGTTTTTTTATTTTTAACATTCTTCAAGTTTCACCATCTTTTGTTTTTATCTTCTTTCACGGGAGGACACTTTATCAACTACTGCTTTTCTTTTTCACATTTTGTAGTTCTTTTTTCTTACTCCTGCATGTTTTGAATGCCTATTTTTCCCCTTTGTAGCGCATATGTTAATATTTGTGCTATTAACCTACATTATTATCATGCTATTCTCATATTTGTTTTGATTCTTTTGAATTTTAAAATTATATTTTTATTCTTATACAAATTTGAAAAATAAAGGTATAAAAGATTTACCATTTTAAGTGATTATATAAAGTATTGCCTAAAACGCTTGTTCTGATATTTTGTTTTTTGGGTTGAATGAGTTGACAATATATGTTATTTTTGTATATCTTACACTTTTTTTATTTTAATTTATTTACTATTATGATGACCATAGTCTGCTATGATGCGGGAAAATGCCTCCAAAAGATCAATCTATTACAATTTTGTATTTGAAAATTGGTGCTTTTTTGTGAAGGCGGTGACTTGCCTTTAGCCTCAACTAAATTTTTTTCTGAGCACATTAATGCCACCTTTCATCTTTACAAGTAGGCTTACAAATTTCTTGAGAGTTCCTAACTTTTACTTTTAGCGAAAGTTATATGCTCAGATCGTTTTGGATATTAATCAGTGTGGTGTTTTCTCTTTTTATCATTGCACATATCATATATGAAATAAAGTGCGGCATTATTTAGGATTAAATGAGCGTTAATTTTCTTTATCCATGGAACTAGAGGTAGAAATATTCTTTATGATTGCAAAGTTTTAATACTTTAAAACTCTGAGTTTTCATTCTCTCCTCTCTCTCTCTCTCTATCTTTTTTATTTGGCCTTTGCAGGCTTGGAAATATGACAACTAATGAAACAGGTGATTTACGTTCAGCTGGAGTTGTTCAGGTTTTGGATATTGGGTGTGGTGTTGCCAGTTTTTCGGCTTATTTACAACCTTTAGACATTCAAACAATGTCCTTCGCTCCTAAAGATGGCCATGAAAATCAGATCCAATTTGCTTTGGAGCGTGGAATTGGTGCTATGATATCTGTTTTGGCTACGAAACAGTTGCCCTTTCCTCGGCGATCTTTTGAAATGGTTCATTGCTCACGATGCCGTGTTGATTGGCATGCAAATGGTAACTTATCATTAATCTCCCTATTGAAAAATACATGTACAACAGTTTATAGGACAGTTTCTGGATGATGCAATGGATAAGTTATCATTCTTAGGATTGGTTTAAATTTGTAATGTGTGAGAAAATTGTGGAAGCTAGCTAAGATTTACTTTTTTTAATTTTTTTTATTTAACTAGATTAAAACAACTAGCATGAGGCATACTACATTTTATCTCTAGCAGTTATTCTTAATTTCATTTAGGGCTTGAGAACCAATCAATTCATTGAGATTTCTATACATAAAAAGGGAATGGTATAGTGCTATCGTTGTTGACATTATATAATCCTATATGACGTTATATAAATTTACTGCCTTTGCATATTCTTGAGCTTTGATATCAACTAATTCTACCGAACTGAGCTGCTTTTGAAGGTTAAAGTATATTTCCATAATGTATTGGCCTTTATAATTATTAACTAACTGTGATTTTATTTTTATTTAAGTTATTATTATTTGGTAATGACTCCACCCTGACATGAAGTTTATTATTTCTCCCCTCTTTTTTTCAGATGGCATACTTCTTAAAGAAGTTGACCGTCTTTTGCGACCACAGGGATATTTCGTGTACTCTGCTCCACCTGTGTATAGAAAGGATAAAGACTATCCAGTCATATGGCAAAAGTTGATTAATCTGACTACAGCTATGTGTTGGAAGCTAATTGCTCAGCAGGTCCAAACTGCCATATGGTTGAAAGAGGATAAGGATTCATGTTTGTCAGAGAATGCAAAAAAGAATCTACTGACGATATGTGAACCACTGGAGATTACAATACCACAGTGGCAAAGCCCTTTAAGTAATTGTATAACTTCAAGCGATCAATATGATTTTCGGAAGCTACCTCCCAGATCTGATCGCCTTGGGGTTTATTCAAAAATTCTTGAAAAATTAGGTCAGTGATTTCTTCATATCTTAATTTTTTTTTTTTTCAAGGGAGTGCTTGTGACATTGACTTTGGAGTTGCAGATAGAGGCATAAATCTTTTTTGATATTGCCTATTTCATGAAGGCGGTGCAATGGAAAATTCACCAGTGCCATTCATGGTCTAAAGTTAGTGTTTTTGTCATATTTCCATCAAACTTCTGTTTCCGTTTTAGTGTGAAGTTGGTTCTCTACATAACACTTTTATCATTAGTGTGCTATCTATTAACGTACTCTTGTTCTTTGGACTAATGTTTTTTCAGTGCTTTGCTGTACTTTTATGTAATAATCTTTGAGATCATTAGTACTGACCTTTTATTTCTCTGTAATTATTTCTCTTGTTTTTTGCATCCTGTTTAACACTATCGTTCTTTGTTTTTTGTTGACTTTTTGCTCATATTTCTTATACTTTTTCCCATATATCGTTCTTTCTGTTCTTTCACTAGACAAACATATACGTAAGTACCTGTTTAACTTTCTCCTAAAGTTAAAGCTTTGGAACTTCAAATGTAGTTAGATTTTTAACTTTGCCTTCTATTTTTCATGATGGTTTGCTTTTGAAACCTCCTCTAAGAGTATGTGGAAATCTTGAAATCTGGAGCATTGAAAGCCGCAGCCAACTTTTCATAAATTCAGGAATCACTTCTGGAAATTACAGATAGCAGTTTATTAATTCTAGAAATCACTCCACCTGCTGTCTTGCACAATTCTGATCATTCAATCAGCCCTCTTGCTCATATTTCTTATACATATATAGATTGGTGATTGATGATTAGTGACTTTTAAAAGTTTGGGATGCTGTTTTATTTGATTGTTTAGTTAATTTTGGAAGAGTTAATTTACCGGTGTTATTGACTTTGTATTCCAAGTACTCGGGCTAGTTCACGACACTGATGATGATGTCAATCATGATGTCTAAACACCAATACTTTAATTGGCTAAGTCGAGTCCTCTCTTTGGCATCCCGACCATTTTGGTGTATCGAGTAATAATATATCTTAACCAAGTTGTCTCCTCATTCCTCCGATTTGTTGCCTACTTGTTAGTAAATAGCAAATTTCTTCGCCACATAAACTTGTAGCCTTACTGTTTTCGTATATCAACAAACCTCGTAGATCCCAGGCTTCCTCAAAATGCTCTGCGATCATGACAACTCCGTTGTGATAGCCTCTGCAAGAGTGCTTGGGCATATAATGGTCTTGGCAGTCACACCCCACGATGACTACTTTAGGTCGACCCGAGGTGAATAGAGATGCGAACTACTAATTTTTTATATGCTATAATTTCTTAACAAGAAGAAATTAAAATTTACAAGTTTCATTAGAGCGTAAGCACTTCTCCAAAAATTTTCATTTGTTTAACTGCAATGATTCTGAAACAAATTATAATTCTTTGTATATCATGAAAATTTCATAATAGATATGCCTGAATAAGTTTTGGCTTGCAACAAAGCTATACACCTAAAATATGTAGTAGATCAAAATATGATCTTGTTTGGGTTTTGCTTCATCTTTTTCTTTACCTGAAATTACATTCAGCATAATTTTTTATAAGCTAAAAATTCAGCAAGATAAATAATTTTAATATATAATCTAAATATTAAAACATTAATTTATACTCATATATTAATCTAATGTGTTATCTGAAATCCTTAACTTAAAAAATTCTTGAATTACATCTGATTTACTTGTTAAGAAGTATTTGATTAGAAACAAAACTTTTAGCAGCACATTAGAGTTTCAAGAATTAATCATATTTCATTAAAAGTGTGCACATGTATCATTGGGTTAAATTTATCTTCATCTAATTTATTTTATTGGTTACAAATAAAGTTATTTCAGTTTTAAATATATTATGTATGCAGTAGTTTATTTGCTATTATAAGCTTGAAAGTTATATGTTGATGACCCTTTTTCCTTAATAAGGGTAACCGTTGTTGTCTGGCATATACAGGCCATCATAAATATCTTAATTTGAGTATCATTTTGCCTTCATATGGGTTCTTCTTTATTTCCCTACTTGTATTGGTGATAATATTATAACCTATCTATATACATGATCTTTATGAAGCTCATTACATTACATTTCATGTTTCTATATCTAGATGTATACATCATTTTCTCTTCTTATAACATTATGTTCGTACACTTTGAAATTTAAAATTGGCTAATGTATTTTATACTTTGATATAACTGACTTTTTTTATTGAAATTAACTTATGTACCGATCTAAGGTATCAATTTATACTCATTTATTTCAATTAAGGTTACTTCCTGACTTAAAAGGGCTTGCATTAATTGACAACGTCAATAATCAACTCTTTCATAAATTGTCTCGTTATTGACACCATTAAGCCTCTTTCATTTGCAATTAATCTAAATAATAGAAAACTCGTATGCGAGGATTTAAGCTTGCAAATACGCTGATGGATCCTTTAAACAAACTTGGAACTAAGGAAGATTCAACTCCAATTGACAAAAGGGTGATACCAAATGGTTATTAGGGAAATTTATGATATTGCTTTCCTTTTAGTGTTGTTAGTTAGCTTATGATTAATCCCACAAAGGTGAACCTTGATGTTGTATGCAGGATATTAAGAAATATTAAAAAGACACCCGATAGGGGTAATTATTCAAAAAAGGGACTAATATATGCATAAAAATCTTCATTGATGATGGTTGGGAAATATTTGCAATATTTTGTAAATCTATATCTGATTATTGTTCTTTGATGTGTGGGAAAATTTATTAGTGGAAGGTAAAAAATAATCTGTTGTTGCTTGGAGCATTGCTAGAGCAAAATTTAGGGCCATGGCATATAGAATTTGTGAAGATATATAGCTTAAATGACCTCATGAAGATTTTAAAGATTCCACCATGGAGCCAATGATGATTAGTTGTGAAAATCAAGCTTGCTATTAGCTTTGCTAATAATCTTGTTCATTATGATAGGGCTAAGCACATAGAGATTAATAGGCACTTTACAAAGCAGAAAATTGAACAAAGAATTATACAAGTTAGTTACACTCCACCAAAATATTAGACTGTTGATATCCTTACTAAAGCTCTTAATTAATTATAATTTGGCCACTTCACTTCCAAACTAGGAATGATCAGATATGTTCCTAGATTGAGGGTGAGCATGAAGAACCTCAATCTGGCCCATTGAATGACAAGTAACATTCCATAAATTTAGTAATCACTTCTGGAAACTACAACCAACAGTTTATTTATTTCAGAAATCACTCCACGTACTTTCATGCACAATTTCAGCCATACAGTAAACCCTCTAGTCTCTGTTTGCCAGCATGCAGCCCCCTACTATATCTGCTGCTAGCTGGTGCTTTTCCCTGTCGTCATCACACCACAGCTTCCTTGACCTGCTGCTATCTGCCAACCACCATTTTCAGTATTTCTTAGTGTGGAAAGAATTTAAAATCATGCATTCATTCCATACTTTTTTTTGTAATTGATTAGGTTAATTTTATTCTTATTTTTTCCTCTTTATTTATGATGCTGGTTATGGCCTAGTTTTACCTCTTAGGTTTCTTTCTATTTGAGGCTCACTAATTGGGCTATGTATCTCCTACAATTCTTGTACCACCTCCATCTATTGGAATGTGAAAAGAAATTATAACTTTTCTTTCCTATGATTTTCAACAAATAAAAGTTTTCTTCTGGTCCAATTTATTCTTTTGAAGCTTATTTGTCTGTCATATTATTAACATCACAAAATGGGCATTTCTATTATATTTCTACCTTTTTATGTTTATCGATGGTTATTGTTAATTGAATATGATTGTGTTGATCAATTGGGTTCTACTGTTGCCTTGGACGTTAGTTCAATTTGCCGTGCTCGCAGGGTTGGGGGGGGGGGGGGGGTTGTCGGGGGTTATCCTTCTGCTTGGGTTCAGGCGCTTTGCACAAATTTTTTTTTCGTGCAACGCCCTCCATTGTGTACTCTAGCGCCTCGGCGCTGTGTACTCTAGCCCCTGGTGCTATGTTTCTCAGCACGCCGGTGCTACAAAGTTTGTTGGGAGAAATGACATAGAGCATAGCGTCGCAACGCTCTAGATTGGGTGTCGCAGGATTGTGTTGTGCCCCAGTGTTACGGTTTTGAGCATCGTAGTGGCATGATGACAAAGGCTTGAGCGCCACAGTGCTCCAAGCTGGTGCCGTAGCGCTTCGAGGCAGAATGGACATTTTTCTTTCTCGTTTTTCTAAATGATGGTATCTCTTGGTGTTATTAACTTGACTTTCTCTTGTGTTTTGTGTGGGAGAACAAAGTACGAGATTAGATAATTAATGAGGGGGTGAGTGAGAAGAGAGTTATGTAATTATTTCTCTCAAATTTCATAGTGAATTTCTTGGTGTGACGTAGCTCCGTGGTTTCTTCTGGATTTTGGGTTTTTCCACGTTAAATCCTGATGTCCTTTTTTTCTGATGCATTTCTATTTTTCTTGTTTGTTTCGTCGTGGTGTTTTACTTGCGTCACCAACAGTTATATTTCCTCTATGATTTTTTTTCTATTATTAACCTGAAGCTTTGTATTACTGGAAATTATGCCTTCTATTATCTTTTGCAGTTGTCTGCTGGATGCCACTTTTGGAATTAGAGAAATTTAATTATCAAGTTTTTCTTTGACGGACATTTTTCAATTTAGATGCTAAATTTGCATGATGTCATACTCTTGAACAGGGGTTTCTCCAGAAATGTACGAACTTAACACAAAATTCTGGAAAGGGCAAGTCAGTCAGTATTGGAAACTGATTGGCATCAACACGGTGGATATCAGGAATGTTATGGATATGAATGCTTGTTATGGTGGATTTTCTGTGGCACTGAGTAACCTACCTATTTGGGTGATGAATATTGTACCAGCAACCATGAGTAATACGCTTTCTGCTATATATGACCGTGGATTAATTGGTGCTTTTCATGATTGGTGGGATGCTGTCATTTTGTTATTCAGAAAATTAATTATTATTCTGTTGATTTATCTGCTAGGTCACAAACATAATATGATGCCTTTTGTAAGATATGCTAGGTTACTTACGGTTTGCCTCCTGTTACAGGTGTAACCCTTTCTCTACCTACCCCCGCACATATGATCTGTTGCATGCATATCATCTTTTGTCTCACTATCAATCTGGTGAGAGAAGTTGCTCAATAGAAGATATTCTTCTGGAGATGGATCGTATCATCCGTCCTCAGGTTCTGCGTTTTCTAACTTTTTTCTCTAATTGTTAGAATTTATAGAATTTAAGAGGGAAAAATATGCTTCACGTTATTATATAAAATTATCCCTATTTTATAGATCTATACAAGATATCTTAATAAAGAAACAATAACTACAAAATTATGCATAATTGCCTCAATATAATCCTTCCTAAATTAGCCACCCAAATATAGAAGGAGACTGGCGTGATCCAGATGAGCCTCTCATGAATTCCCATATGACCGTGGGATCTAGTGGCTAGAGACGACTCAGATTTTGACACTCCTCAAGCTGGAGAATATTGATCTGTCATTCCCAGCTTGCTAATTAGTCGCAAAATGGTAGATTTAACAAGTCGCTCGGTGCACCATAGAGTCCTCTCTATTTGATCAAAACTTTGGAAGGAATTAGCTTCAGACATTGTGACAATGACAAATGATAGCGATGGATGCTATATCAATTAGGTTTGCAAGGTGTGGGGTAGCAATGAAGGCTGTGTTGAATAGTAGCCTTCAAGATATTAGAAATGGCAATAGCAGGGCGCGGCTAACTTGGTTTCAGTAACAATAAATGACAAGCTGGTAGAATGAGTAGAGAATTCAAGTGAAATATTGAGGGAATAAAGGGAAGATAAAGTTGAGAGGAGATAAATAAAAGCTTCAAAACGAGACAGGCTGAGAAAATGAAAGAATGGCTTCACAACTAGAAATGAGGGAGATGAATTATTCCAACCTGGGGTACAAGAATTTTTTTTAATTCCATTCTCAACCATTTGAATTACATGGCCGTGGACATTATTTATAATTATAGGCCATATTAAAAAATATAGAACTACTCTAATTATGTGAAAAAATCATAATTTTTTCTAAATGGAAAAATATCTCTTTGACCACTGATAATTAATTAAAGACGAATAAAGACAATGAATTAAACATGATGCATTAAAAAATAGTGACTGAACTGACAATTCAATGACTCATGATTAGGGTTTAAGATGGACGACTTGCTCCGCAGAACTTTATCTCACCCTTTGCTCTATCCCTCATATATGATGCTAGCAATCTCCAAAAGCTGCATGAGCAATTGCTTGAGTATTTTTTATTAATCGAAATTTCTTTCCGTTAATGTGGAATTCTGAGGATTATTTGTGATGAATTTTTATTCTTATACAAAGTGATGATTTTAATTCTAATGTAGTATTAATTTTATCTGCACAAATTTAAAACACATTGTTTAGAGATTCAGTGGATAAGTTTCTGAGAGGACTTACTTTTGTAGGGCTATATCATTATTCGAGACGAAGATTCACTTGTGTTGAGAATAAAAGGCATTGCTCCTAAGTTCCTGTGGGATGTCAGCTTGCATATGCTAGAAAATGAGGATAAGAAAATGGAACTGGTCTTAATATGCAGGAAAAAGTTCTGGACTATTGTTTGAGGTAATATGTGTCCTGCTGTTTTTCTCTGGTAATTTATATGCTTAACATTTATTTACTTTATTTTTGGTGTGTAAATTGAACGAATTTATGTTTTGTTCTATGTTCTTTTGGTGCTGTAGTTCCATGAAACAGAGATAAGATTATGGTGTTTAGTAATCAAAGTGCACTGCTATTCCAACTGCTTTCATATTCTTCATCATCAGCATTGTGTTCCTAATGCAACTTTTGCATTTCCATAACTTATTCTAAAAAAGCCGTGGAATAATAATTACATTAAAGTCAGATAACTAGCTGTTTATTTATTTTTTTTAAAGCAACCAATTAAAAAGTTGAACTTTATTTGAGGAGAAATTTTACGAATAATTATGGTAAAAATTTGTATTAATGAGTTTAATATTAAAAAAATAATTTTGGCCATAGTTGCTGAAGCCATCAGTGACTAGATGTGAGCTGGCAGGTGATATGGTTCCTTAGTGTGAGTTGTTGAGCTTGCTAGAGACTGATTCGGTATTTGTTGCTGGGCATTTCAGGGAAGGGTGTGTGTTTTTTTTTAAAGAAAAACTGCATTATTACCAGCACGAGAGTCATAGGTGAGGTTTCACGTGACATTCAAAGATCTAGATTAGAAATTTTGAAAATTAGAAGCTCTCTATCTCGGATCTGGTTGGTTGAGTTCTTCCCTGTTGGTTTTTGGATTTTGACAACAGATTTCGCTACCGGATCCCGCTTTGTCATCTTTTTCCACTATAATCTTTCCAAATTTTGATACCATACTTCGCCATTTGATCTCGCTAGCTCTAAGCTTTTATCATCCCCAAGCTGAAATTCCCCTTCTTCAACGAGTCTTCGGCACCTCCTCTTGAGCATTATAAGATTTTTTTTTTTTTTTTGAGAAATTTTTAATGATTGAGATAGAAATTATTTTACAACAACAATAACATCAAGCCTTTCTCCCACGCTATGGGGTTGGCTATATAAACTTTTTTCTCCTTTGTGCCATATTAAGAGTCAAATTCTCATTTAAATTTAATAAAAGAAATCATTTCTAATATTTTTAAAGAAGTCTTTTTAGGTCTATATCTAAATTTCTTAATATGGGTCAAATCCAATACATCTACTCTCCTAACCAAGTCATCGGAAGGCAAACTTTTTGTGTTCAAACCATCTATGGCGACTCTCTCTAATCTTATCTGCCACTGGAGCTACTCCCTTTTCATGTATATACATTATGCATTCTATTTCTAAGTAATGAAGCCACTCATCCACCTGAGCATCATCATCTCTTCAACACTGAACTTAATTTTATGTTTCTCTATTAATGGCCAACATTCTACGCCATAAAACATTACAGGTCTCACCACCATCTTATATATATATATATAATTTTGGGGGAACTTTTCTATCACACAACAAGCCCAATGCATTTCTCCACTTCAACCATCTAACTTGAATTATACTAATAATACCCTCATCTATTTCACCATCACTTTGAACAACAAACGCAAGATATCTAAAATATATACTCTCATTAATGAATTTATCGCCCAAAGTCACAATCCTCCGCTAGATCTATTACTATTAAAATTGCACTCTATATATTTGATTTTAGATCCACTCAAACGAAAATATTTATACTCTAAGGTTGACCTCTATAATTCAAGTTTTCTTTCAACTCTCTCTTTAGTCTTGTGAAAAAAAAAATCATCAGCAAAAAGCATACACCATGGTACATCCTCTTGTAAATGTCTATTAAGAACATCCAAGACTAAAGAAAAAAAAAAGGCTTAAAGCTAATCCGTGATGCAATCCAATTGAAATTGGAAAATACTTTGTCAAACCACCTTGTATTTGAACACGAGTAATAACTCATGCATACATATGATATCGGGTCCATTATCACTCCCCCATCATCCGCTTTAAGTGCAAAATGGCAAATTTCCAATTTTAGATATTAAAATTCAAATACCTAACCATGCTATTGCTATATGCTGGATACTACATATTCGTTTGACAAATATCCTTAATCGAAAGTTCTCTCTCACTATCGAGAGGGGTAATTAACTATAGGGACTTGTGCTTATTGGAAACCTGAACTCAGATTATAAAGTCCTCACAAAATAAGGGCGAAATCCCTGGGTAATGTCTTATTAAAAACTCAATATGCCTTCTAAAAATTTGCCTTTGGACTTGAGCGTTAAAACTCTCCTCAATGACCCGAAGAAAAGAAAGGGGTCTACGAAGAGACTGGGGCATGAATTTTCGGAGCCCACAACATTATATGTTCTTAATCTAAATCACTATAACTTAAAAAGTTGAGAATTGATAATTTAAAATAGATTAATCAGATCTTTTTTGCTATCATTTTTTGATATATAATCATATTTTAAATTCATAGCTACTATGCAACTCATAATGCTATTCAAATTATTAAGATGTTTTTCTAATTTCAAAATCATTTTAGCATTATATAATCATATTTTTTTTTCATTATTTAATCAAGTCAAAATGCTAAAAGTTATTGAACTGATAATTACTACTAATTACTAAACTTAAACATTTAATAAAAAAAAGATAATCACCTCTTAATTATTATTGAACTCATGTAAATATTTGCTAATTTTTTGTTTACTTTACAAAATAATTTATTTCTAATTCCTTTAATATATTATAAAAAAAAACTTACAATACTCGAGGCAATGTTTAAAATTGCGTATTCGGGTATTGAGGCGTTTTTCATTTGTGAGGCGAGGCGTAAGCCTCAAGGCGTTTTGAGGCGTAAGCCTCAAAATTAAAAGATTGCGTAAACATAAAATGATAAATTTTTTAAATACTAATGAGTGAATAATATAAAACATAAAAAAGCATAAGATATGAAGTGAAATCAAAATATCTCAATAATAAGACAATATGAAATATAGTTCAACTCAAAATTCTATCTTTCCCAAATCTCAGTATTCTTTTCATTAACATATAATTCTAATTTCTAAAAATAAATTGCAATGACATATCACATAAGAACTCATAAATCATCAGCACTGTCATCACTAAGGGGTTCTTCATTTGAATCATCATTATGATGAATTGCTCTCTCCCCTTCCTCCTTTCCTATAGAGTCAAATGTCGGGCATTTACTTCAAGATTTACGTAAGTTTTAATATATATAGTGTGACGCGTAAGCCTCATGCCAGTGAGGCGAGGCGGGCCTCAACCAAGTTGAGGCACAAGCCTCATAACAAAAACTCGAGGCATAAGCATCGAGGCGTTTTTTTACTAGAATTGCGCAAACGCGGGCCTCAAGGCGAGCCTCATATTGCGCAATTTTAAACCATGACTCGAGGTGGCTGTCGGAGTCTCAAGAGGCCGCCAGAGTCTCATCTAAGTTGAGGAAATTCGGCTGGGAGATGATAACAACTTTGGGTGAGCGAGATCCGGTTATGAAGTACAATTTCGAAATCTTGAAATGCTGCAATGGAAAAAGATGACAAAGCAGGATTGTTAGTCGTGATTTTATGGCAAAATCCGTTGTTGAAATCCAGAAACCAATAGCGATGAACTCGGGTGGCGAGATCCGAGATGGAGAGCTTCTCATTCTCAAAATTTCTAATCTTGACCAGTGATTCTTTCGGGAAACCTCACCCGTGACTCTCATGCAAGTGATAGTGTAGCTTTCTTAAAAAGAAAACCCACCCAAGTTGCTGAAATACCCAACAACTAACACTAAATAAGTCGCTAGCGTGCTCAGCAACGGATGTTAAGGAATCTCGTTACTTGCCAACTCACATCCAGTCTCTGAATGCTTCAGCAACTATGGACAAAAATAAAATTTTAAATATTTAATTTGATAATATAAATTATTTTTGTAACTATTTATAAAATTTATCTTCATATGCTCCCATTCACTTTGCATACTTTTTTCTCGTTCCCTGTCTCCCACTGGTAGATTCAAGGGTGGAAGAACAGTTCAGAACAACGGTCTATTTGGGTTTTCCCTTAATCCTAATGCGTTACATGCCAATCTGTGCATGTTTTTCAAGCTGAGGCTTTAGTCAAATGAGTTGCTGATGAGGACATCAGATTTCGACACGTGTGCCATCACCGGAGACGCAGATCGACGGCCACGATCCAGAGCCTCTATTTCTGATTTATTTGTAGTTTTATTTACGCTTGTATTTCGTTTCCTAGTTTACCCATGTGGGCATTGAGTCACTTATGTAGCCCTGAGGGCATTCACGTCATTTCATCTTATTTTATTTTGGCCTACTTATATAAGGCCTCTTGCAATGTAATAGTTTTAGTTTTTGATGATTGAATGAAAAGCTTATTCCGCTTGGTGATCTCTTAGTGAGTTTCTTGGAGGAGAAAGATCTCTTTGTGAGTTCTTAAATTTTTATTTTAGATTTCTTTGTGAGATTTGGGCGGAATCACTTGAGGTGAGTGGATCTTTGATTCTTCACAATTTTAATCTTGTTTTTTTTATCTGTAGTGAATTCCCTTCCCCCTCCCCTCAAGCCTTGTCGCCGCTCCATTGGCTCACCCAAGCCGCTGGCTGCCAGGCAGTCACCACCATCCGGACATCCACCCCGCCCCCTTGTCCCCATTCCCCTTCCAGCCGCCGGCCCCCCTCCTTGGGATTTGAAATTTGAAATTTCAAATCTCCCCATGATACATAAATGACTTTCCTAAATTAAATCCTTGATTTTAAACAATCTTCTTAATTGTATTTCAATTCAAATTTGAAATTCAAATTAATTCAAGTGATTGCCATACATTAGGAAACTTTCCCCACATAGGAAATCTAAAATTTCAATTTAGATTTTTGATTAAATCTGTGATTAATTATGTGGGCCCCATTTGATTAATACTCAAGCCCTCTCTCCTCTTCATGTGGCCGGCCCCTTGATGGGCTCTCTCCCCCTTCCAAAATTACATTGATTTCTCCACAAAATCAGCCCCAACCTCCTCCTCATCGCCGCCCCCTTTCCCCTCCTTGGAATTAATTT